AGTCTTTTCACTAAGTCACTGTAACTTAGACCTGGTCCCTTAATCAATAGAACTGTTTTAATTTTAGTTCAGTTCTTGTTGATATTTAATCAGGCTTTTCTTCTTCTTCTTCTTCTTCATTTCTTTTCGCTTCAATTTCCTATTTCCGAGCCTCATCCAGTAAAAAAAAAAAGTAGTTTTATTTTAATGTAGTGTATACTGAGGTACTCCACATTTAAATTCAGGTGATTCATCAAATAATGTCAGGGAGCGTGGAGCTAAAGTAGTCGTGACAGACGCTAATAGAGAACACAGAGTTTCATTATTTTAGTACCGATCATGTGACGGCTTCACGGACGCACGAAGACGAACGAAGTACCGATCATGTGACGGCTTCACGGACGTATAAGACGAACGAAGAAAAAAAAAAAAACAACAACCCAGGATTAACGGTGTGTGAGACAAAAGTGAATCAAAAGTGTGTGTTTTATAAATCGACTGGAGGTGAGCTTAATTGATTGGCTGTGTAAGTGGAGCAGATGTGATGTCACGCTCTTCAAGATAATCACATATTACAGTCAGCGTCAACGTCATGATGCCTTCCTGAGCGCCTGCCTGCTCCCGGAATGGATTAGCTTCTCATTTAGGCCTCTTCACACACTTCACAGGAAAATGGATGAGAACGCCATTCATTAAGGTCTGCATAAATATTTTACTCTGGCCAGTCAGTGAGGCCCGGCTGCCGCTGTAAATCAGAATTTGTCCAAGGCGTGTGTGTGTGTGTTTAAGTGTGAGTGTGTGTGTTTGGGAAACAGAACATTAAAACATTAAAGTTGACAGGATGACAGAGTGTGCCGGCCGAGGTGTTGTGGATAATTGAAATGCCAAAAGCCTCACGACGACGGCTGCTTGGTTTTAACATGAATTTACAGCCTCCATCACAGGCCGCTAATGCTGAACATGGTTTATGAGGAGGCGGCGGCCCAGGGAATTTATTTATCTGAGCGCAGGAACCACTCAGGTGCATGTTGACACCGATGGCCCCCCCGCTGCATTTAGACACCTGTCAACAGGGAGGAGGGGGTCAGTTCAGCTCCTTCCTCCAGCCCCCCCCCACCCCTCCTCCCTCCCCCTGTCTCTCCTCGACTCCCAGAAGGACGTCTACATTTTTGAACAGGTTACTGTAGAGTCTGTGGTGTTGTGGTGTCTCAGGTGTTGACATGATGCTGTGTTTCTGAATTTTAATTTGATAAAAATGAGCAGAGAATTGATGACTAGCGAGTGGATGATAAATGACAGACGATCGACAGACACGTGAACCATTAACCTGATGGTTTGAATGTGAAATAAAGTTAATCTTACCGTCGTAAAGTCGCGTCTCCTCCCATGTGGTAGCCTGTGAGTTGGAACCGGGTGCTCAATGACGCCTCCTGTGGCGGCCTTTGTATGTTGCAACAAAACGCGTCTTTTGTCTGACATCATGGTTTGTCCGGCGCCCTCTGTGGACTGGTCTGTGTTTACAGGACACATTGACTCTGTATGAAATCAGAATAAGAAAAAAGAGGAAAAAGAGGAGGAAGGATCAGCAGCTGCTCTTGAGTTTCCTCTGTAACAATATCCTCCGTCTTCAACTTCAACACTTCAACTTCATCTTCTGGTTTTTTTTCTTTCCATTGAACTCAACAGGCTCTCGTGCTGCTATCAGTGATGTGACTCATATCATCTCCACTCAACAGAGGACATTGTTGTCGGAGGAAGGATGGAGAAATAAATCCACGGCTCTTCACTCTGTTACGCCTCGTCTTCAGCTGGTCAAATAGGAATCTCCTTTATGTGGGAGAACATAATAGGAATTTCAATTTGAGATAAGACCAGAGCAGAGCAGCCGGCAGGAGCTAAGATGGAATTAAATCATTTTTTAAACAACATTTACCAACAAGACTCTGCTACAAACAACCTGGAAACTCCTTCAAGATTCTTTAAAAAAAAAAAGTGATACAGTTTATATTTGGTATCACACAACCAGCGATAAATAATAAAAAAATCTATCAACCCCCTCAACCTCCCAGAGACAACAATAACTACAAGGTTTTAATGAACCAACATCAGGATGAAGAGAAAACAAATAATTATGAATAAAAATTATTACAAGATTAAAAAAAAATATTGAAAACAAATAATTATGAATAAAAATTAATACAAGATTTAAAAAAAAGATTTAGTCTTTTTTTAAAGAGCTGAATGTGGTTTAATTCACTTCAACTCCACTCCACAAGTTTGTCAATATCTATCTGAACTTTCATTCATCAAACAAACTGAAATAATGGACAAAATAACAGAAAAAAAAAATTAAACAGTAGAAAAGTAAAAACTGAAATGTTGATAAAATCATGTTCAACCA